CGAGGAGAAGGCCAGGAGGCAAGTGAGATGTCCATGTCTGGCAATTTGTGGAGTGAATATGAATGCAAGAATATCGTAGTTTGGAAGTTAGGAGGAGGTGCGGGATTACCAAAACTGTTGTCCAGAGTGGCTGAGGAAGGGTTTGTTGATTGGTATCAGACTTGTAAGAGAATGGAAGAACGAAACAGAAATGACTTCAAGATGTACAGTCCCTGTGTGAAGGAAGGCGGGTATGGGTCGGCCTAGGAAGGTTGGAGGAGGGGTAAAGAGGTTTTTAGTGCGAGGGCTTGGACCTTCCACAGGCATGCAGGAGCGTGTTTGATATGAGTGAATGGGAGACAAATGGTTTTAATACTTGAACGAGCGGTTGGAGTGTGAGCAAAGTAACATTATAGATAGGTATTCAGGGAAACCGCAGGAGGCCGGACTTGAGTCCTGGAAGATGGGAAGTACAGTGCCTGCACTCTGAAGGAGGTGTTAATGTTTGCAGTTTAAAGAAGCTTTAGTGTAAAGACACCCTTACTGGCAAGACAGTGATGGAGCTGAATGATGGTGAAGTTTTTTCTTTTTCGGGCCACCCTGCCCATGGTGGGAATCGGACCAGTGAGATAATAAAATAGAAATATATATATATATAAATTTTTTCTTCAACAAGTCGCCGTTCTCCCACCGAGGCTAGTGTGACCCCAAAAAGAAGAAAATCACAAAAAAGAAAATACTTTCATCATCATTCAACACGTTTTCACACATTGTCACTGCTTTTGCAGAGGTGCTCAGAATACAAAGTTTAGAAGGCTATTTACGTATAAAATACACAACATATTCCTCCAATCTGCCAATCCCAATACCCCTCCTTTACAGACGCAGGCATTGTACGTCCCATTTCCAGGACTCTAGTCCGACTATATGAAAATAACCGGTTTCTCCTGAATCCCTTCACTAAATATTACCCTGCTCACACACTCAACTAGATCGTCAGGTCCAATATCATTCGTCTCCATTCCTCCTATCTAACACGCTCATGCATCTTGCTGAAGTCCAAGCCCCACGCCCACAAAAACCCTCCTTAAACCCCCTCTTTCCAACCCTTTCGTCGAGGACGACCCCTACCCCTCTTTCCTTCCCCTATAGATTTATATGCTTTCCATGACAATCTACTTTTGAATCCATTCTCTCTAAATGAACCAAACCAACCTCAACAACAACCCACTTCCTCTGCCCTGACTAATGCTTTTATTAACCCACACCGCTCCTAATTTCACACTCCGAATTTCTGCATAATATTACAATTACACCACACAACCCTTAGAGGGACATCTCCACTGCCTCCAACCGCTCCTATCCGCTGCTACGCATTTACCCACCCAAGCATCACAACCATAAAAGATGTGGTACTACTATACTTTCATACATTCCCTTCTTTGCCTCCATAGAATAACATTTTTTGACTCCACATATACCTCAAACGCACCACTCACCTTTTTTCCCTCATCAATTCTGTGATTAATCTCATCCTTCATAAATCCATCCGCCGACACGTCAGCTCCCAAGTATCTTGAAAACATCACTTCTTTGTGTTCCATACTCACCTCTCCCCAATTTGATATCCAATTGTTCTTAGTCTAAATCCAATTGATACCCTCATCACCTTAATCTTTTCTACATTTTCACTTTCAACTTTTCTACCTTATACACACATTCTCAAACTCATCCACTAACCTTTGCAATTTTTTCTTTAGAATCTCCCAAAGCACAGTATCATCAGCAAAAAGTAACTGTGACAATTCCCATTTTGAATTGATTCCCCGATAATTTAATCCCATCCCTCGTCCCGAACACCCTAGGTGCATTTACTTCTTTTACAACCCCAAGACATAAATATATTAATCAACCAGGTGACATACACATCCCTGTCAAAGACCTACTTTTTACCGGGAAGTATTTCTCCTCTCAATTCTACACACCCTAACCTGAGCCTCACTATCCTCATAAAACTCTTTACAGCATTTAATAACTTACCACCTATACCGATATTCTTGCAACATCTGCCCAACATTGCTCCATCTATCCACTATAATCATATGCCTGTTTCTAAATCCATAAATGCAATAAAAACTTCCCAACCTCTACAAAATACAGTTCACATATATGTCTTCAATTTAAACACTTGATCTACACATCCCCTACCCACTCTGAAGCCTCCTTGCCATTTCCGCAATTCTACAGTCCAGTCTTGCCTCTAATTCTTTTCAATTATAACCCTACGACCGTATACTTTTCCTGTATAACTCAGTAAACTTATTCCTCTATAATTTTTACGCATCTCTTTGTCCCCCTTCCCTTATATAAAGGGATATACATCTCTCCGCCAATCCATAGGTACCTTCCCCACTTTCATACATTTATTAAACAAAGGTACCACCACTCCAACACATATCCCCCCCTGCTTTTAAACATTTCTGACATGATCCAATCGTTCCAGCTGCTTTACCCCCTTTCATTCAACGTAATTGCCTCACAGTACCTCCACCACCTTTATCAGACTCACTCCTTCACTCCTAAAAGATGTATACCTCACCTGGCCAGTGCATGAAATTACCGCCTCCCATTCTTCCCTGAACATTTAAAATTTTTCCTCAAAAAATTGTCGCCATCACCTAATACCTTCCCTCTCCGCCCCAATCTACTAACTCCCCTACTCTGTTTTTTAACTGACAAACACCATACCTTTCCCTAGGCTTTCTAAACTGTAACTCTTTCATCTTCATCTGCTTCTCCTTTTGCACTCTCCTCACCACTCTCTTCACCTATCTTTACTCCCAAATACTCTGCACTTCTTATAACACTTCCGCTTTGTAAAAACCTCTCGTAAGCTACCTTTTTCTCTTATCACACCCTTTAACTTCATCATTCCACCAATCACTCCTCTTTCCTTCCTCCTGCCCCCCACCCTCCTATACCACGAAACTTCTTCCCACATCCTAATACTTACAGCATTTTTAAACTATTCCAACCCTCTTCAACCCCCCCACAACTCATCTTGCACTAGCCACCTTTCTGCCAAATAGTCCTTATATCTCACCCGAACTTCCTCCTCCCTTAGTTATATATACACTTTCAACCTCCCACCATACTTTGCCCACCTTCCCTTTTCCATCAACCTCTTACCTCGTAACTGTACAACAACGAAATAATGATCCGAAATATCAGTTACCCCTCTATAAACATGTACATCCTGGAGCCTATACCCATCAACCATTTATCCACCAATACATAATCAAGACATACTAACTACTTCATTATGTGCAACATCATACCTTGATTATATTTTATTTATCCTCTTTTCATAAAATAGTATTACTTATTACCAAATTTCTTTTCTACACACAGCTCAATATTAAGGCTTCCGCCATTTACATTTGACCCCTGGCAACCTCCCAATTTTACCTACTAATCCTCCATAAATTTGCTTACCCACTTTAGCATGAAATCCCCAACCACCCTTACTCTCAACATTTGATTTCAAAACTCCCCACGCATTCACTCAATCATTTCCCAAAATATCTCTCTCTCCTCTACACTACTTCTCTTCTTCTCCAGTGCATACAACGCTTATTATAAACCACTTTTCAACATCCAATCTTTATTTTGAGTCCACATAACCCTTGAATTAAACCCCAAATTTAAGTCCCTCTTTTCTCCCATACTTATCCTTTCAACATTATTGCCTTACTTCCTTCTGTAGCTCGTAACCTATTTGAAACCCCTGATCTAATTCCCATTTATTCCTCTCACATGGAACTCTCCACCCCCTCAGCTTTGTTTCACTTAAAGCCAGGACATCCAGTTTTCTTCTCATTCATAACATCCACAATCATCTCTTTCTTATCATTTGCACGAACATCCAGCACACATTCAGACTTCCCATATATATATATTGGACGCCCTGAATTATATCTATAGGGAGATCTATATTTCAGATCACTTTTTATTATGGGATTTTATATATGCTTCTAAACTGTTGGTATCCTGGGCTCCTCTGCAAAAATTGATTATTATAGTGAGTGAAAGTGTTGAATGACGATGAAAGTATTTTCATTTTGCGGATTTTCTTTCTTTTGGTCACACCTGCCTAGGATGGTAGACAGCCGACTAGAAAAAAAAAAAAAATTCCTCGTACTTAATAATAACATAATTAACCTAAGGTAACCTAATATAGTTGGACAATGACAACTTAATTTCATGTTTTCTCCTTATAAAGGGAAATCAAAATATAAATGTTATACAGTATTTTTCGACCTATTGTAAAAGTTTTGTATTTTCTTCATCAATGTACTTATTACATAATTTGTTATTTTTCTTCAGTGGTAGCTTTAACTATTTGGTGTGTGTGGTCCTCGTTCATTTTAAACAAGATATCTATATGGTTGTGGATTACAGTTCTGTAGCAGGCACAGGTACTTACACGCTTATGTTTATGCTATTTTTTTTAATCTGTCTTTCAGTACATATTGTCCAAAATATACAGGTGTACACACTTTTGGAAAATAGTGAATAAATGATGAAGTGTATCTCTTTTTGGTATCACCCTACCTCAGTGGGAGACAGCAAGTATGGTACACAAAAAATGTACACGTGTACTCAGCCCTGAATTAATAAATGCTGTAGTAGACTGGTGGTTTTCAGGATACTCTCACACTCCCTTGTTTATTTTCTCTACTTACCTTCCCACCCTTCTTTTCCCTTCCTTTTTCTACCAACTGTTCTTTCACCTCCATTTCCTCCTCTTCCATCTACCCCCATCCCACCCTCTATCGCCGCCCTCCCACCAAGATCTCATCCCTTTCCTCTCCAACCTCTAGAATATGGTCTGCCAACCAAAAAACGATTACAAAGGACTACAAACCTGCCCTCTTGTTCCTCCACTATTTGTAATTATATTATAAATTTAGTTTTACTTTCCGACATTTCAGACTTACACTCGAATTGATTATTTCCAGAGAAGAGAAAAAATTTGGAAATGAAAAGGAAACAACATACAAAGATGTTTTATGCTGTAAAGCTTGCACGAAAGTTTCATGGCCAAAGTGATGATGAGGATTAATGATGAGGCGGAGAATAAATAAAAAGATGCGGACGAGACGGAGAGTAAAGAAGTGAAGGACAATACAATGGAAGAGATGGACGAGGATCGAAATAACATTTTTGCAAAGTCGAGGGGAAGACATGGCTGTAGTGAAGATGAAGATCCCGGGACTTGAGGGTCTGCAGATATGCCAATTGATTGGAAGGCAAAACACTGCTCCATTGTAGCCCTTGCTAACATGTTGATCTTCTATTGCTGTAGTTACTATTCCCTATATACCCTTCTCACACTTGACCTCATGACCTTCAGAAATAGATAATGACAAGTCATCAATCATTTTTTAATTATTTAACCCATTAACACATTCATTGCAATAACAGGTTACAGGATTTTCTCTGATACTGGAACATTGAATCACAAACAGTTAAATTTATCACTTTGTAGTGGTGTAAGAAGGGCAAAAAAAAAAAAAGGTTAATGTGTTATCATTTTCAAAGATAAAGCTTCATATCAGAAGCCCATTACTATTTAACAGTTTTAGTAAATCGTGAATAGGCTTGACAACTAAATAGGAACAAGCTTAGTAGCAAAGGTCCTTGACACATATATCTGAGTACAATGTTTTATATCTGTGTGAGGGTAAAGTTATGTAACTGAATTTTTCATCAGCAAAAATTTTTACTGAATGGTGAGAACCGACTTAATTGGATAGATAGTACAGTACATGAAACATCATCAGAAGATCTTGGAGACAAGGTTTCTTGTAATATTCTCAAGTAATCAAAAGCTATCAAACTGACCTCATCATGGTTTAAAATCAAAAGCGGTTAGATTACTGAGAACTTGGTCATAAAAGAACTAACAAAGCAACCCATAATTCAAAACAGCCATTGACTGCATTGGAATTACTAAATGTTTATCTTAAATCTGACAGTCGGTTTAATTTTGTATATGTATTGTCATTATTTTAACCTAAGTCAGAAGATACAGTTTAAGGCTTATTGAGATTAAGCATAAGAATTATTTTCTTCTTAGGTAGGTTAGGCAAAAGTGATGGAATTTGAACCAGATGATTAAAGGTATTTTCAGCCTGGCTGCCCATAGGCCATGCTCTGAAAGTAGAAAAAAACTCAGAACTCATCAAATGTAAAGGTAACAGATACTGCAGTTGTAGAAGAATAAAAGATTATAATGATGTGTGCCATGAGACTTTAATTAATGTGTTTCTTTGCATATACTTTAATTTAAGTTTGCGGATTTATAAAAAATAGAGCATTATCAATGTCCAAACAAAAGCTATAGTTGTGGAAATCAAAATGAAGTGAATTTTCATTTGTGTTGTTTTGGGACAATTTGTTTTATATAAATATTGTATATTTATTAATTGCTCCTCATTTTCAGAATGATATTCATAGTGTGTATATCCTGATCATTACAGTACTAATACAGTTATTTCCCCATGCGCTACCATTAGTGAATTTGACCAAAATATTAATTCCATGTATAATTTCTGATTTTAAAATATTTGCGTGCACTAAACTTACATAATTCTCTCTATTGTTTGATTTATTTAATTTATCAGAAATCGTATGCTCGATATAATAAATATACCTTCTTCCATTGCTTACTCAATTAATCAAGGATTGAAATAGCTTTAATTTTAAACAGTTTTTTCCCTCAAGGAGAACATACTTAGTGAGAGTTATGCAAATCAGCATCAAAGTGTTAGCGCAGGAAAATGTCCAGCCAACAATTTGAACATATAGTATATCTTTGGTATAATGCAATAACAATCATAGCTGTGAAAACTATACAAGGGCAACTGTAATCAGTAGTTATCATTTTTCACTCAGATTTGCCCCTGCTGTTAATAGAGTCATTGCATGTCGAAGACCTCTAGTGAATGGCATGAACCGTGGGTCATGATGCTGTGCATTGCATCATTATATTTTTTTTTTTTTTTATTTTTTTTTTTTTTCTTTTTTTTTCTATCACTTTTGCAATGGGAATGATTGATCTTGATAATGTATCCAGGTTTATGCAGCTCTGGATATATACGATAGTGTTGCAGTTTACATTTTAAATATGTACATAATATATTATATACCTACTGCAAAATGTTACTAGAAACATCATGAGAAGGAAGTAAGAAATTTTGTATTTTTGTTAAAAATTACAATTTAGTAGAAGACTTTTCCACATTAGACTATGGTTACAATAACATAAAAAATATCCCAGCGTTGACAACAAGGTGGTTAACATTAAATTTGTGCATGTATGCCAGTGTATAACTCAATTGTAAGTTGCATGCCTACTCCCAAGCTGTTCACAGTTAATGAATGTCATGTGTCGTTTAATATCATGCGTGTGCGCTCATGTGTGTGGTGTGTGGAGGGTGTAATGGAAGTAGTGAATGTGTATGTGTACAGAACGTATGGTGTGTGTGTATAAATTTATGCTTGCTTGCTCTGTTGGTTACAGGTCGAAACCTTAGCCCCTGCTCCAACGTTTGCTGGATTTGCCCTCTCTAGCTATCTCAGGCCTTGTCAAGCCTATTCTTAAAACTAATAATGTAATCAACCTCCAACCACTTTTTCATTGAGGTCATTTCACATACTGAAGCACGTCCGAACAAATCTTCCTGACATCCCTGTGACTTATCTGTGTCTAAATTTCCAGCTGTGCCCCTCACGTACCCTGTTTCCCACCTTTAACACAGCCTAATCCCTGTCTGCTTTGCACAGTTCCTCTGAGTATTGGTATGTTAGGTCCCCCCCCACACCCCCCATTGGTCCCTGTCCTCCAGGGTCCAGCTTGATTCCTTCATCCATTCATCATAGCTCGTACCCTTTAGCTCTGAACTAGTCTCATTGCATACTTCTGTACTTCAGTTTTCTTATTATGTTTCCTAAGGTGGTGGTCTTCCATTCTAGGTTCTGCATACTCAACGAAGGTATGCCTGACATGTGACTCTGTTGAGAATTTCCTGAAGGCCCCTCTTGAGTTGCCAGTGTGAGCATACACTTCTAGAGGTTATTTGGTGATGCAAGTCCCTGGCAATATGGTAGGCACTGTGCTTACTCCCCGCAGGTCCTCTTTGATAAGGTACTGCAAGCCTCTGTCCCCCAAGTCTGGTCTTCTGGTCTCTGACCCCCTCCCAGTTTTCACGAAACCTTCATTTCCTGGGTGAAATTCCAAGTAATACAACTTACCTTTTGCGTACTCGCCTAATTGTGGTGCAGGGGTCAAGACTCAGCTCCTGGCCCCACCTCTCACTGAGTGCTTACTAGTTCCTCTCTCTCCCTGCTCCTTCCCACCAACTCCATTGCCAAACAAGTTTCCAACATCTTTGCCAAAACACATCCAAGTAATCTACTCCACAACCATGAACCATAGAAGGACATCACCAGTAGTAGACATGACAAGCCTCCATCCTCTGGCAGGGGTATACATAATCCTTGTAATGTCTGCAACAAGTTATACGTGGGCGAAACATCAAGGACCTCCAAACACGTGTTTCAGAACACCAATACGCCAGTCAGGTCAGACGACACAAGGAATGCCTGCGTACATCACCGTAATTCAACAACCACTTGATAAACTACAGAAACTCAAGACTTATCGCCACAGAAGACAACACTCAATCCGAAGAATCCTGAATCATCCTTATTTTCTATATCCGACAACTTCAACCAGAATAGTGCTGCTAAAACATAGCTGAACCACTTGCCAAAAAACTTCTTCATCGCAATCCCACATAAGAACACTGGTAGAAGGTCTGGCTCACAAACTGTAATCAATCTTCCTTTCCAAGCTACCCAAGTTTTTAGACTCTATCACCCACTCGGTACATCAACAGATGCAGCATTCTTCACTCTGACCCTCAGCATTCTGAACCGGACTATAAATACTCGCGTTCCCTTCACCCCAGTATTCTGTTTGTGACTTGAAAAAGGCCCACTGTTGTGGGCGAAACGTAGTCAATAAAGGATCACATTAACTGCATTTGTGTTTATATTCCATTGTGTCGGTATTTTATACCATTTTATTTCCACCGTTATTTTTATTGTTGATTATGTTCATATAGATCAATGGTGATAGATACATAAGCCAATGTGTTGATATTAGCATTAAATTGAAGTAATTTTGTCCTGCCTTCCTAGACAGGAATTCTCTGGAACGGATTAAAGGCATTTCAGTTAATTCAAATGAGGAAAATTGATTTGATATATGAGCAAAATTGAGCGTACAAGCTAGGAATCACAGAACATTAAACTCATAAGTCGAGGTTCCACTGTATTTTTATCCTCAGCACAAATGTTTGGGTCTCGTACAATCTCTTCATGCCTTGGAAAAAAAAATCTGACCAGACTGGTCCACATATTGCATCATGCATAACACTGCCTACTAGCCATCAGCAAACAATAAACCAGACCAGTGTTCTACCAGCAGCTTCCCAACTAGCAAATAGTGTGGAACTGGCAGCAAAATGCCTTATTCATTCTAAATTCATAAATTTCATAATCCAGTGAATTCTTTCAAAAAATTCATTAGACAGATGAATTAGGTGAAACCAATATATACGTATACAGTGACTTATTTCCATGTTTTGAGTATTATATGATTTTCTTGTATATGGTGTTTGGTCTTAGAAGACACACAGTGTTATGGACACAGAAATTACTTAAAATATATATATAATATAATATATATATATATAAATATATAGTATATATATATATATATATATATATAAATATATATATATTATATATATATATATAATATAAATATATATATATATATATAATATATATATATATATATATATAGATATTAAATATAGGATATATAATATATATATATATATATATATAATATATATTTTTTTTTCCAACAAGTCGGCCGTCGCCCACCGAGGCAGGGTGACCCAAAAAAAAAGAAAGAAAATGCCCCAAAAAGAAAATACTTTCATCATCATGACAAACACTTTCACACACTCTCAGCGACTTATCACTGTTTTTGCAGAGGTGCTCAGAATACAACAGTCTAAAAGCATACACACATAAAGATACACAAATATCCCTCCAAACTGCCAAATCCCAAACCCCTCCTTAAAGTGCAGGCAGTACGTCCCATTTCCAGGACTCAAGTCCGACTATATGGAAATAACCC